TGTCGTTAATCCTTAATGGATTCAAGTCCTGCCCGTGGTTGATTTTTGATTTTGAATTTCGATTTCGATTTGATCAGTCGTCGTGCCTTGTTAGGCTTCAGAACGCTGTGTCCAAGCTGTGTACTTGCATGTTCTACGCCCCCCTCATGTTGTTTGTTTGTTTGTCCGGTGTCGATGTCGATCTGTGCCGATCTGCCGCCGTCGAGGTTAATCGTCTGTACATACATAGCTCTAATCTAGCACCCCGAGTATCCCATGGCCACACACAAGTTTACCCGCTCCCCATCGGCCGTCCTCATCTTCTGCGGCCGGACGCGCTCGATTCGCGACTTTCTCGATCGCTCCGTCCGAAGGACTGGAACACCGCGGCGAAGACGCACACAATTCCGCGCCCCTCTCATTTCGAAGTCGGCACAGCACATACGCAATATGCGCTCGCCATTTCATATGTGGTGTGTCTCATACGCGCGGCGCGCTCTGCGGATATCCAACACACTGCCATTACGCGACTACCGCAGGCAAGACTCGATCCTACACGCCGAAACAAAGCAACGATAGCGAGCGCAGAGATGCATAAACGTTAGCGAACAGCGGGCCCTCCCCGTCCCCGTCCCCCCTCTCTCTCCCGCGCGCGCGCGCGCTCTGTCTTTCTCTCCTGGATATCACCGTGACGAGTGTGGTGTGGTGCGGTATGGTGTGCGGTGTGCGGGCCCGACGTCGCGGTGCGTGTGTATCGGGCGAGGACGGATGGACGGATGGTGAGGCGAGACGAGACGAGACGAGACGAGGCTACGCAAGCCCGATCTTGGTGAGGTGCGAGCGCATGATCGCCTCGCCGACTGCGGGGGAGGGTGAGGGTGCGGGGGGTGCGGTGAAGGGATGAGGATGAGGGTGAGGCGCGGCGGGACGCGAGACGGACGGGGCACGCACCGTTGACGATGATCGACTGCGTCGCCTTGATGTCCTGTGCAGGGACGGGGGAGGCGCGTGAGCGGACCTGCACGGGGAGGGTGGGGAGGAGGGGAGACGTACGAGCATCGAGGTGTAGTGCTGTGGGGGAGAGGGGGCGTTAGCGTGGGCACGAAGATTCGGAAGGCGTGGGGTGGGCGAGGCGTCGAGGGGGTGCGGGGGATGGGAGCGCGTCGCACGAAGCCCGTCCAGAGAGTACGTGAAAGAAAAGGGGGGGAGGCGCGGCGCGAGAGAGGGAGGATAACGGGACGCACGAGGTAGAGCGGGCGGTGGGAGACGTCCTTGCGCTTGTGGACCTGGATGAAGTGCGCGCGGAAGTACTCGGACACCTCCTCGTAGCTGTTCGGCCGGTCGCCGTAGGACGAGATGCTGCGGGCGGGGCAGGTGAGCGATCGTCGTTCGCCGTATGCGACCGCAGAGTGCACGAGCACGAGGCCAGGCGGCGACGGCGGGCGCAGGATCGCCCGCAGCGCTCACACGCCCAGAGCGCAAGCCGAGAGCTATGGACACCCCGGGACGTCCGGCGGGAACGGAGGGGGACTTACTACTTGCGGACCTTGATCCCGGCCTCGAGCTTTTGGCGGAGCAAGTCGGTCTGCGCGGGGACGCGCGCGTGAGCGATCGATCGACGGTCTGTCTGTCCGGACGAACAGACAAACAAACGGACCTTGTTGAGCATGAGGACGAGCGCGGCGCTGGAGAGCAGCTTGTTCGCGCAGATGGCGGTGAACAGCTGCAGCGAGTCGTCTATCCGGTTCGTCCGCGGGTCTTCCTCCAGGTACTGCGTCGGCGTGTGAGCATGGGCGCGGTGGACGGGGGACGCACGCGCGGGAGGAGAGCGGCGGGGGTGCGGGGGCGGGGAGAGCGGCAGCGCGAATGGGCGCACGGACGTGCGTGCGCGGTCGGATCACGGAGGGGCGCGACATCATTCAAAGTGAGCACGGGGGCCCCGCGCGTCGAGGAGAGGAGAGCGGGTGCAGTGCACTGCCCTGCGGATGGAGGAGAGACGCACCTGGTCAAAGGCGCTAATCGGCGCGAGGAAGATGATCGCGGTCGCTGGTGAGAAACAGCGGAGTTAGCACACGTCCCGGGGCCTGCGCGCACCACACCACCGCCGTCCGGATTACGCGATTCGCGATGCGGCGGGGTCGGAGCCACCTCGTCCCATCTTTCACGACGTCCGGCCGGGGGGGCAGAGAACGAAGGCAGGCGCACGCCCGCGCGATCCGACTGGCTGCCCGCGCGCGCGCATTGCGTCGGCCTCTGGTCACCCCACGGGCCACTCGCGAACCTTGTACGACAGCGCGCAGGCCCTGTGTCCGGCTCGCCGTCTGTGCGCGGCAGCGTGCATGCGAAACGGACGCCGGATCGGGCGGGGGCAGCTCCAGGCACGGACGGCGAGGCGACCGACGCCTTCGGTGCCCATGGCTGCCACCCTGCGGACCGGAGAAGCCAGGCACGGGGGGCGAGTCGCGCGGGGCGGCAGAACCAACCGGGGAAGGGACGGGCGCACTCACCGTCGTCGAAGAACGGGACCCACGCGTGTCGCTGTGGATGGCGACCGTCAGCATCTTCCGTGCGCGCTGACAGCGGTCCCCGTCGGGCACGGAGCCTGCGCCGCTCACCTGGCCACGCTGTGGGAGGGGGAGAAGGGAAGGGCGCGGGGTGAGCAACCTGGGGCACGGACGGAGGAACGAAGGGGCGTACCGCGCCGCCGACGTCGTACAGGTTCCAGCTGTAGTTCGTCCCGCCCAGGTTGATGTCGAACGCATGCTCGGTCACGCCGATCGTTTGCAGGCGGACGTGGAGGATGTCCTCTGCGCGCGCACCCCGTCAGCCCGCGTTCGAGGCTCGCGCGTGCCCGTAATCCGAGACGCACCGTTCGTGGGGAGATACTCGGGCTGCGCGATCCGCCTTATGTTCGCGAGGAAGCTGCGCACAGCGGAGCCAAACCGCGGTCAGCACCGCGTCGCCCACGCCCCCAGGTGCTCGCGAAACTCACAACGCCGCGTACTCCTCCAGCTTGAGCTTGTTCCCCTTGAGGAGGGCCTGCACGGCGGGGTGCCACCACAGCGCGTCGACCTCCTCCGCGCTCGCGGCGAGCGTGGTGGCGACGATGCCGGTGACCGCGGTCTGCCGGCCGCCGTGGCCGGGGAGCGCGCGGCTCGCGTAGTAGTCCTCGGCGAGCGGCCACTGGCGGTGCGCGCTGGTGAGCGCCTGCCAGCCGGAGCGGACGAAGACGCCCTGGCGGCCGCGGGCGAGGGTGACGCCCCCGGAGAGCTCCGCCGCGAGCGCGTCCTCGGAGGCGACGAGGGGGAGGAGCTTGTGGCGGAGGGCGGCGAGCTCGCGCGCGGCGGTCGCGTGGGTCGTCGCGCGGGAGTGGAGGGAGGAGGAGCCGCTGCCGGTGCCGGTGCCGGTCGAGCGGGAGTGGGAGGGGTAGAGGGGCCGGGGAGGGGGACCTGGAGGGGCGGGAGGGGGCGGAGGGGAGGTCGGGGAGGGGGAGCCGGAGTGGGAGGCGGCGGGGGAGGGGGAGGTCGGGGAGAGGGAGTACTCCCAGTCGAGCTCGTCGAGGATCATGCGGATCGCCTTGAGGATGTTGAAGTAGACGATCGGCCGCCAGGAGGGCCGCTCCTGCTCGAGCGTGGCGGAGGAGTAGTAGAGCTGGAACTGCTTCTGGAGCGTGGACTTGCCGGACTCGGCCTGGCCGAGGAGCAGGACTGTGCGCGGCGGTGGACACGGCGAATGGGCACGGGCACGGGCGGGCGGGTGGGGGAGAGGAGACGGACCTTTGAGCTGCTTGCCCCGTTTCCGCCGGACGGCCTCGCGCTCGCGCTGTCCGACGAACGTCGCTCGAACGGCGGGCGCGGCGGGTGTAAAAATGTAAAACACGCACCCGGAGCTCGTCGTCAATCGTCTCGCTCACGCGCAGGGCCTCCGCCTCCTCCGCCGGACTGCGTCTCTTGCCCATGGTCGCTGTCGTCCTGGCCGTGGTCTGCTGGGTGGTGGGCGCGGGGGAGGGAAAGGAGGGGCCGTAGGAGGGGGCCAGGGACGTGAGCCCGGGAGGCAGGTCGTGACGAGGGCGGGGCAGACGGGGCGGGAGGACAGAGGCGGGGAGGAGGGGAGGGGGAGGATAAGGCCCCGGCGGGCGTCCCACGGCGGGCATTCATTGTGATGGAGAAGAAGAGGCCATCACCCGTCCTCCTCCCAGCGCGCGCCTGCCCGTATGTGGCTCCCGTGCGCCCGCTGCGCCGTCCCCTCCGCGCGAGCCAATCCGCCGCCAGGCCTTCGTCCCCGGCTGCGAGCGCGCGAGGGGCGGCTGGACAGCGAGCACCTCCGATCTGCCAGCGCACACGCACCCGGTCCCATCACGACTCGCTCGCGCCGTCGCGCGTCGCCGTCCGTCCGTCGTCCCGTCACGCGTGCTTCGCGCCCTGTGATCGGCCGTCCGGCGCAAAAGGCAAACGCGCGCGTCGCGAGCGTGCTGTGCAGGTACCCATCCCCTGAGGAGCGTGCTCTGCGTCCTCCGCCGGTCTTCCATCCCTCGTCTCTTCCGACCTTCATTCCTGCAGCAGGCACGCCCCGGTTCCAGCCTGGGGCTGTGCCCAAGTTCACACTGCACATCACGCCCAATTTCCTGTCAGGAAATGTTTAGGATAGGTTGTATATCCAACACATATCCCGCGTATATCCCGGGATCCGGATTCCCGGGCCATTTTCGATGACAGGCGACCAATTATGACCACGTGACCTGCTCACTTCGCGCGTCTTAACGCGTCTGCGCGTCGAGAAGCACCTTGCATTTCCCTTGCTACATTCCCCCATCCTTCCTCAGGCCTCAGGCTTAAGTGCCATGTCCAGCCATCCCTATGACATCCCCCACACCCCATCGCGCAACGCCGCACCGCTCTATCAATAGGCTCGTCGTCCGACGTCCGTTACCTTTGAGTGCCTGTGTTCAGTGGCGGTTTACTTATCCCCAGTCAGGTGTGCCTCACCTCCGATCAGGCTAGATCAAGCGCAGTTATACATGCATGAAGGGTGTTACGGGCTTTCCCGGGATTTTTGGGCGGATACAGCAGCAAAGGTGAGTATTGCTCATTCTTTGGGTGATTATATGCGCACTGAGTTGTGCTATAAAACATCCGCAGTGCGACCGAACGGTGTGGCGATGATGCCCGGGTACGTCCTTCGTCTCATCTGCGTGCTGCCTTGGAATCGATACCCCTTGAAGTCAGTGCGACAAGATGGACACGATGGACGCAAGTGACAACGGAGCGCCCGAGTCGAGGTGAGTGCAAACACCTGAGAAGTGGTATAGGTTGCAGCGCGTGTGCCGCTTTGCAGTCGAGACTGGCTCTCTGCTCCCTGTTTGGTTGTCTCATATATACGTAGTCATATTGAACTAGCTACAGTACTTGCAAGGGTGCAATCGTCGGCCGCTCAAACCCTCACCCAAGAGCGTCGCACGGCAGCCGCGAGCCCAACCTTCGCTGAGATCCCGCCCGAGCATGTATGGAGGATCTGGTCCGCGATGGGCATCGGGTGCGTTCTCTGCTCTGTCTCCCATATCCTCCTCCTCGCCATCCCTCCTCTCCATCACGCGTGATCTGCAGGATGCTCTACATGTGGGACTGGCCGCTCGTCAACCCTCCCTAGAGCACCATACCGAGGTCCACGATCTCCCTCAAGGACTTGGCCCTCGCTCGGCTCCCCACCCATCTCTTCGCGATCTGTGGCCCCGCGTCGGTCTCGTTCCTCAAGATGTCTCTCAGGTGCCACCCTACCCGCACCGCGACCCGATCGAGGCGCTCAAGGCGTACTTCTACACCCGGCGCACGTTCCCCTTCCTCGACCGCATGCTCGGCGTCCTCAGCGTCCTCGGGCCCTACGGGCGCGCGCGCGAGGACATGGGGCGCCTCCAGGGCTGGCAGCGGAACGCGCAGGCGATCTGTGCGGTGTTCAACTTGCTCAACGACGCCAAGCTCCTCGACAACGTTCCCCGCTTTGTCGGCCGCATCGACACGCTCCTCATGCTCGTCCGCACTGTCCAGGGCGAGGCGCAGAACATCGGCGTGCTCGGCGTCATCGACGCGCGCGCGTGGACCGCCGTCGCCGCCGCCTGACGTGCCGTCCATGGCGCGATAGCGGACCCTGCTCCCCGACTGTGGCCAGCTGCTGCGTATTATTGTGAATCCAGGTTACCGCTAGTATCTCTGCATCCCTGTAGCACGTGTCAGTAGCATAGACGTCAGAATATATACATGCTTTTACCAATATTGTATGAACCACGGTCCACGAACGCGCCCGGAATAGCGAGTACCCTGGAAGCGCCAGCCGGGATGTGCACAGGATATTCCTGGGAAGTTGTGAGGTTTCGAGGAATGTCCCAGAACTTCCCTGCCAGGAAAAACCTTGGATAAATCTGCGATATTCATCATATCCCAGACATATCCTGACAGGAAATTTGGCGTGATGTGCAGTGTCACCCGCCAGGCCCGCGCGACCACGCGCCCTCTCCTGGGGCCTTCGCTCGCTCTTCCATCTTGATCCCGCCCGCCCGCGTTGGGCCCGCCGGGCGAGTGTGCTGGGACTTCGCGCGCAGACGTACGTACGCCCGTGGGCGCGCGGCGAGCCCTTCCTGGGGGACGCCTCCCAGCGCCCGCCACGCCCATCCACCCGCGGTGGGCTAGTACTTGGTTCCCCTGCGGGTCTCTCAGTTCCGGATGTGAGCGCGGATGGCGGACGGCGGACATCGGGCACGATGCTATCGCGATCGGCGCGTTCACGTTCGGTTGGTGCAGCAGTTCCAATACCCATTGCCCCGGATGGAGGCGCGTTCTGTCCACGCGTTCTGTTCATCGCGCGCGGGCTTCCATTGCCTGATCGACGCGTGCGGACCACGCGCTCGTCGAGATGTCCGTCGAGGGCTGTCGTCTCTTGATACTGACCCACCCGGATATGGGCAACGAGGAACATAAGTAAGTAACAGGCGGGTCGGGCCGCCGCCTAGTCACAGGCTGTCGAACAACCACAACCGCAACAATTACGCCGCCTGTCTAAGTGAGATCTATCATTCGCTGGCTACGCAGTCAAGCTCGACGTCGTGCATACCAGGGCCCAGGTCGGTGCGCATGCACTCTTCACCTCGCACGCGCCAGATCCCCCACCGAACACCCTGCAGCCTCACGCTTCCCCTTGGAGACCGTGAAGATGTCATGCAGCTCGGCATCCAGCCACCCGGTGTCGAGGAAGCCTGGGAAGGGTGACGGCGCGAATACGGGCTTCGAGCGTGATGCGCAGGAAATTAAATCACTTCCGGGTTCGCCTTCTGGCGCAGGTGGTGATGTTAGGTAGTGATGGAGCAATGACCACCGCACGGGTGTTGTGGACGTTGAGTGCGTCGTGACGCAAGTTCTGAGCCGGGTTTGTGAGGAAGGGTGCTACATGACACCCGGATCTCGGAATGCGCCCCGCTCGCCCCAAGGTATGATGCCCGAGTGTTGGTGCCACGGTGCGAACTTATTTGAGACATTCGGAGGATCCGGAGGGTCGGGCAGAAGCTGCAGTGCATCATTCATGATCAAGAAGGAGGACACGGGTTGATGCAATTGCACTCATGAGTGCTGCATAAACGGGCCACTGTACGCTAACATGATTACGGACGTCTCAGAGTAAGAACCAACACTCCCAGGGGATGGAAGAAGAACGCACCGGGGAGGGGAACAACCCACGAATTCCCAGCTGGGATCCTGTTATATAAACGTGAGTACACCACTGCTCGTACCGAGAACTGGCACAGGAAGGTGCCACTCCCACGGGGCAGAGCTTGCTGCGCAGAGCAGATGTACTGGAATGGGTTGGAAAGTTTCAGGCAGTCGATACCGCTGGTATAGTCTTCGGGAGCTCACCTTCTCGATCCGAGCGGAACTAGCACATACACAGGTTGCAATGGCGCGTGTGTAGAGCCTCGTCGTTTGAGTGTCATACGTATACGGCTACTTGGATGTTTGTGTGGACCCCTGACAGACTGACTCGAGTGTGGCCACATGAAGCACCGCTCTCCAGGGGATTGAGTACAGGTTCTATGCCTGAGCTGACTCGTGTATGAAGGCCGATACCCAGAGAGGACACAGGTTATCCGGACGAGTCACGAAGAAACGCAGGATGAGACTCATGAGAGAGAACTGAGGCGGTGCTGTGAGTGGCGGACGGCCGGATATGGACGGCCGCACGTGGAGCTCACGAGGGCGGCTCTTGCCGTCGCAGCCAGTACTTGACCCTTTCCTCCTCCTCATCCTTCCTTCATCTTTCTCGCTTTCTCCAGACACCCCTAACCCACTTCCACAACACAAGCACTAGAATCACTTCTCTGCACATGCGAATCGGCGTACTCCCTGCACTCGTGGTGCTCGGCGCCAGCTTGGGTAAGCCCTGTCGTCCTCCTCCGTCCTCCTCTCCTCCTAAGCGATCCTTCCCTTCCTCCCCGCACACCTCCACACAACCACCTCCAGCGAACGCGAGCCCGATCCGGATCGTCGTCACAGAGGTCTCCTCGAGCGTACGCTATGGACATGCCGTCCCCGACGCCGACGCCAACGACGCCGCCGTCGCCCGCATCGCCATGAACCACCTGGAGGGCCCTATCGTCGCCGTCTCCACCTCGGACACGCACTCCGCCGGCGCCCACCACTGGTGCCAGGGAATGCGCACCAAGGCGCTGGACGCTTCCAACGCCCTCCGCCAGATCCTCGGCCTCGAGCCCATTACCGTCGCCCCGCACCACCGCATGGGGCCTATCGCCGTCCCTCTCGAGGGTGCCCCGCCCCACCCGCACGGCGGCCACATGCCCCCTCCGCCTCTCGTGCCGTTCGTCGGAACTGCCGTCAGGCCCGGGCTGGTCGCCGAAGGCGGGGACCCGCGCGGCCCCATGTGGGCGCACCACCGCGGGCACAGGATGATGCGCCAGTCGTTCCTCCGCCGCGTGCACCACGCACTCATGACTCTGGGCCCCTGGGAGGGACGCGCCGTCGCCTTCGTCCTCGGTGAGTGTTCTCCCTCTATACCTCCCAGCACTCCACCCCCGACCATCGCTGTCTATCTTTGTCCGTGCGTCTTTGTCGGGTGGTGCGCTGACTCTCCCCCTTTTGTTTTGCTCGTTTGGCCGTACAATCCACGCCCCACAGGATGCGGCATCGGCGTTCTCCTCCGCATGGTCTGGGTCGTCGTCCTCCTCACCGCCCGCGCGTTCCGCGGCGCCCGCGAGGACGAGACCGTCTACGACGTCGTCTTCGACGAGGCCGAGCTCCTCGTCGCGCCCCCGCAGTACACCACCATCGAGGGCTCCGAGGCCGTCCCCGTCGCCGCACAGGAGAAGGAGAAGAACTAGCCGTATGTCGCGCTCTTTCAACCGCGCATACAGTCCACGGCCGAAGCACAGCAGACGGAGAGCGACGGATTGAAGCTTTGGCCGTGGCCTGGATGGGTGTTTGAGCGGACGTGCACGGCCCGTCGCAGTTCGCCATGTAGACCATCACGGGCCCGATCGTGTGCGGCCAGGTGCTGCGGCGGGGGCGCGTGTGAGTGCTGGTGTTGGTGTGTTAGGGTGAGGAAGAGGACGGGCGGACGCACTTCCAGTAGGCGGTGACGGTCGCGCCGGCCTCGACCTGAGCGGAGAGCTGTCCGGAGCCGAGGGTGGCGCCCTTGGTGTTGCACGAGATGTAGGACGCGGTCGGGTCCGTGATCGGGTCGTACGTGTCCCACTCGCGCTGGATGGAGCTCTGGCCCACGGGGGTGTTGTACGCCTTGAAGCTGCGAGGGCGCGCGCGTCAGTGGGGTTGGGGGCGTGGAGGCGGGGGGACTCACCCTTTGTAGGTGACGCCGTCGATGTCGTACTCGAGGACGCCGCCGTGGGCCGTGACTTGTGCGACGCCCAAGGCGAGCGCGGTGGCAAGAGCGGCAGCGGAGATCATGGCGAAGAACCTAGGTGGGGTAGAATGGAGTGGAGTTGTGGAGGAAGCGCGAGACTAGCTACTGAACGGATGGCGGTTGCTGGGGTTCTACTTCGTCCGAGCTCCGGTGGTTATATACCGCCAAGGCGCGCACGCCCGCCCCATCCCGTGCGCATGATTTGCGCAGAGTCTTGAGCTCGGGGTGAGGGTCATGGGAAGTGGTTGCGGTCGTCATCACCGCGACGATGTTCCGCGCCGGTGCTTCCTTCGCGCAGGAGAATTGGAGGGCTATTCCTCGGCCCACTAGTGGAGCGAATTTGACCGGCGCATGTGGGTGTTCCGGCATCTTCGAGCATCTCCCGGACAACGTTGGCACTGATCCAGGTTGATGCCCGCAGAAGCGGAGGTGTCACGAGTCGGCGAGAGAAGGCGACCGGTGGACGTCATGGCCGCGGTACCAGTGGATGTGGATCCGGAATGCGATGTCTATCACGCTGAAATGCCGCAGTTCAAACGAGGAAGCGAGAAGTTCGGATGAGCGGCTTCCGCGTTGATTGTTTGGAGACCGAACTTCGCGGTATAATGCGGAGGGCAGCGTTGGTGAGAGGTTAGGTGCGCAGAGGACCAGTTGAACGCCCCTATGTTGAACAAGAACGTCGACGTCATGCATGGGGATCGGCGTAGACCATGTCCCATACGTTCCAATCCGCGAGCAGCTTGGCGAGGCTCGGGGCGACGTCTGCGGATACTAGGCGAGACTAGGGAGCACCGTCAGCGTGATCAGATTGACATATCCCGACGCGCGAGGCACTTCCCGCTCTCCGCATCATGCTTGTAGGCGAAGTATTAGTCTCGAGTAACTCCTCCGAATCTCCGCACCTGTGTCGTGCGACCGTTGCGTTGATGACGTGAAACCACACGCCGTAGGTGCTTGGGATGACCCAGTGGCCTTCTTCTTGCAAGACTCCATCGCCACTTAGCTGCCACGCGTGCACCGCCTCGACCTGTAGAAGGGTGGACTCGGAAGGTGGTGACGGCAGAAACTGTCTAGTGCTTGCTATAGTCAGGCGAGTCTGATCGAGGGGTGTGTACTTGTCGAGCTTGTCGAGAATAGACCAGTGGGCGAGCGCGATGCTGAGAGGCTGCCTGAGAGGGGCCAACGAAGCGCCTATCTC